AGACTTTCTCTAGGGTTGTTACAGGTACATGAGTGAGCGTTTGTTTTCAGGAGCATGTACAGCTTACACGTGGCTACAACACACTAAAGAAAATGTCTCTCTTTCTAGTCAACCATTATCTACATATAAATCTTCAGGAAGGGTTGGGGTCCTTGAATGGTTAATTTCAATTGTTATTTTTGTTTGTTTGTTTGTTTGTTTAAAGACATGGTTTCGGTGTAGCCTTGGCTGTCCTGGAATTCACTCTGTAGACCACGCTAGCCTCAAACTCAGAGATCTGCCTGCCTCTGTCTTCCCAGTGCTAGGATTAAAGACATGCATCATTACCTTTCAGTTGTCAATTTAGCAGTTTCAGAACCATCTGAGAGATGGCTCCCCTACGCACGCCAGTGGAGGATTTTTTTGATTGGGTTACTTGAGGTGAGAAGACTTGGCTACTGTGGGTAACACCCTCCCCTGGCTCAGAAAACTTAAATACTGCATACAAAGAAATTCAGGTCAGCCCATGTATTCAGCACTCTCTGGCTTTTGACTGTGCCTGTGATATGAACAGCTGCCATAGGCTTCTGCTGTTGTAATCTCTTTGTCATCATGGATTGTATCCTTAAACTGTGATCAACTCTGGAATGTATTTGCCCTGACTCCAAATTACTACAGCTACTGTTTGGATATTAATGCCATTTCTGAGAAGTGTCTGAAAACCAGCTGGGAACAAATCTACCTGGTTTGGTCACTTCAAGAACTGGAGAATTACTGTAGTTTGTTTCCTGAAGGCTTTCAGTCATAATTTACTTTGTTTAGCATTTTTAAAAAAGAAGGGAGATGTTCAGGGTCTCTAGTAGCTAGGAATCAATATCACAGGGATTGATGTAGTCAAACATGTTCTTTCCCTCAGACTCAGTGAGAATAGGAGGTGATTTCCAGGCAGTCACACTAAAATTCTAAGGCAATGGCTTCCACAACGTGAGGTAAGTAAGCACACTATTGACCTTATTTTTATCCTAGGAACTATGTCATGGAAAGACAGGAAGAGCAAGCATCTTCATGGTAGAAGTGAAATCCAAAGTTAGGAAGGAGTTAAAAAGAAAACAACAACAATAACAACAACAACAACTGCCACCAAAACCCTTGCATGCCTTACTTTCAGGCCTACCCCTGTCTCATTCCACAGCTTCATGTGTGACTTGGAAGAAAATGTTCTCATTGAGCAGCACTTGCTAAAAGCCAGGAAGGAGACGCTACTAGGGTCTGCTGTGTAAATTTGTAGTGACTGACCTCAGCCAAGCCAGCCATTTGTGTCCCAGGATCTTCTTCCCTTAAAAGCCCCCTTCGGGGGTTGTCCATAAGAGAAACTGGTGGGAATTTGGCAAGAGGAAGTGAAACAGCAGCCGTCAACCTCTGGAGATGAATGGCTAGAGACAGAAGGACAGTATCATGGTTTTCCTGAGTTGGTTTTTGAAGCTTGTCCTCACTTTTGTATACTCTGCATCCAGCTGTCCTGCACAACTGTCAAATCTGCTGAACAGCAGTGGGCTCAGGTTCGATACCAGAAGCTTTACTGCAAACTTAAAGGTATCGCCAAGAAGAGCCAGCAGCTTCCCACGGCCCCTGCTTGGCCCCTCTGCAGTTGAAATCTAGCAGACACTAGCTCAGGCTCATAGCTGTTCCTGGATACGCTGACTCATAGTCCACAGCAGGCAAGGCTGACGAAAGATTTTGCTCCGACCCTTTCTGGACCTTCTATTTGCAACCCCCACCGAACCCTGCAAGTCTAGAGTCCATGGCAAAGCACTTACCACATGCTCCTATACTCATTTCGGGGCTCTCTCTGAATCCCAAGTCACAAAACTTCAAAATCAAGCAGACTCAAATGAATTGCAGTTACCATTGATTTGTAGACATGATATCTTTGTTTCTGTATTTAGGATAAAAAAACTAACACTATACATCATGTAAAATAGAATTCAAAGCAATTACTGTAAATATTCTTAAAAGTCTAGGAAACACCACAAGCTAAGACCTGACACAGTTAGTTAGTTAGTTAGTTATATAAATAAATGATAACATGATGTAATTTTTAAGAACCATAAAATGCCTCATTATGGGAGTAAATATAGCAACTAAAATAGCCTATCAAATTCTAACACTTTTAAAAATAATGTGTGTGAAGGGACACACACACACATACCACACATACACACACGCTGCCAGTTCAGTAGAAACAAAATAATCTCCTACAAATGGGCCAGGAAGATTGGCTATGCATGAGTGGAGATATGAACAGCACAGGACAGAGGAAAGTGGAGGGGGTGGATTTTGGTTCATCCCTCACATGAAACCACATTAATCATCCACATGACCATAAAACATATAAAACCTAACATTATAATACCTCCAAAGGAAAACAGAAAGCCTTTGACTAGGGCAAAGATCTTTTGGTAGATTTGACTTTCATCAAAAGGTGAAAGTTTAATAAGACATAGTGGTGCCTGCCTATAACTACAGTTCTTGGCAATCCAAGGCAGGAGGATTGCAAGTTTGAGGACAACCTGGCCCACAAATAAATAAATTAAATAAAGTTAAAATTTAAAACCACAATTAAAAACAATTTTTTTTTGTTTTGAGACAGGGTTTCTCTGTGCAGCCAGCCCTGGCTGTCTTGGAACCTGTTCTGTAGACCAGGCTGGCCTTGAACTCAGAGATATATCTATAATAAATGTGAAAAGAACTTCTAACCAGAAGTCTCTCAGAATTCAACAGTGGAATGTAGCAGTTAGAGGAAGATGGAGTGGGATGAAGGAGGAACAGAGAAAGGTGCAGGTCACTTTGGGGGTGACAACAGTGTCTACTGTGTTGCTAAGGTGATGGTTTCATGAATGTGCATATGTATCAAAATTTGCCAAGTTGTTCACTTTAAAGATGTTCTCACTTTTTAATGCCCCCTACCTCAATAAAATTGTGTAAAAGTAAACACCTTGACTGGACTGTATGAAATGGGAAAGTCCTTCCAATCAAGAACAGGCAAAATTTAAATTCACGAACAAGCCAGGCATGGTTGTGCATGCCTCTAATCTAAGTACCTGGGAGGCAGAAGCAGGTGGAGCTCTCTGAGTTTAGCACTAGCCTGGTCTATATACTGGGTTTCAGGATACCCAGAGCTACGTAGTGAAACCCTGACTCATAAAAAAAATCATGAACAGCATGTGCAAAAGGTCATTTTGTTTTATGTATATGGTGCAAAAAAAAAAAAGGAACAATACAAAACAAACCCCCAGAATCAAACAAAAAACCAACAAAACAAACAAATGAACAAAACTCGCTCCCTGGGGGTGGAAGAGATGACTCTGTTAAACACACTAGTGTTCTTCCTGAGAGCCCAAGTGTGCAGCATCCGTATCAGACGGTGTTAATCTGGGTTCAGGAGATATGGCCTCTCCCGGCCTCTATGGGAACCCATACCCATGTGGGACGCACACACAGATACCACACATTCATATAAAATACTGTTTCTCTTTTATAAAATGCACACTGTAGTAATCTATTTATATCTTCTAGTCCCAGCTCTAATGTAATCTACTTCTTAAAGCTTTTTCTCATCAGTCAAGTAGAGAGAAATTGTTGCCTGTAGTGAATTACCATAACTTATGTTAATTACCATAGAGTAATTTAATGCATTCATCTACCCACCTACCGCACATTTATTAAGTGCCTCATATGAGCCAGGCACTAGCTTGACACTGCCTATGCAAAGGCGAACAGGGAATAGTTCCTCCCTTAAAGAACCTTACAGTCTAACTGCAAGGGTGATGAACTAATTACTTAATGAGCAAAAAACAAGTCGCAATAACACACTGAAACAACTATTTCAAGAACCCATATCCACTTCAGCACCAGATGCACGGCAATAACCTGAGGGTGGGCAAAGGCAAAAATCCAACTCTGGGTCTCCAAACTCTCCTCCAGATGACTACTTTCCCAGTGGAGAAAACAGGAAGAAAGAGGAGGTGGACCTGCAGAATCCAGCACAGAAGGATGATGGCCACAGGTCAAGGGCATGCCATGGTCCCTGGGAAAGCTCTGGGCTTTGTGTGTTATTGTTATGATTTTCTTCTCTCTTGCAAAAACATACAGGTGACAGCCATCTGACATCTGTGGGAGTCATACCAATTTAACTGTGAAAGCAACTTCTGAGTGTGTGTCAGCTCAGTTTGCTGTAATAACACACGCTTAAACTGAATGGCTTGCAACATTAATATTTTATTTCACACAGTTCCAGAGGTTGGGTAGTCTAATATCAAGGGATTGGCAATCTCAGTGTCTGACAAAGGTCTATTTTCTGGTTTAGACATGGTACCCAAGAGCCCTGTTCTTGTATGGTGATAGGAGTAAACTAAGAGCTTTTGGAGCATCTCTTATCAGAGCACCAATCCCAAACATTGACCCTCAGATACCTCCCACCCAGGGCTATCAGCTTGAGGGTTAATATCTCTACAGATGAATTTTAGAGGACCATAGCATTAGGGATACACAAGGCCCTGGAGGTTTCATTTGGGACATTTTGCTTTTTCACACGATCAAAACCTCTTCACTATGCTCACATCCTAAAGAGAAAGAAAAGTGGAAGAGACAGAGACCGGGAAATTGAAAGTATGGGAGAAGAGATAACACAGTTAGCTCGCCTCTCACGATCAATATCTATGCAATTATGGAATTTCAAGTAGCACAAGAATCAGCACAAATTGAAAAGGCCTCCAATTACAATGTGGCCATTTGAATTAAATACCATGGAGAAATTCTTCAAACCTCCCCAGGGCAATTTATGGCCAGAAAACTTTTCATCTTAACTATTTACATCTACAGAAGAATCAGGTCTCAGAGGGGAAGGCATTAGTCCTTTATTTAACTTGGTCTGCATCCACCGGTTAATAAGAGATGGCTCCAGGAGACAGCGAGGGTCCCTGGGACTCAGCATCCTCCTGAGCGCTGGGCAAGGCTCTTACCTGTAGATAGGGTCCTGCATCACCAGCATCTTGCTCTCATCCCACGTCCACTCCTTTTTCTGCAATAAAAGAAGCTGTACATGAATAAGTTAGGCTTGTCCTCAGGACAGAACCAGGGCACACGGTGTGCTACTAATGCATATGCAAACACATGCATTTCGCTCTTGGCTTTTTCCCTGTAAGAGGCTCAGAGCTGATTGCTTCAAAAGGACAAGTGGAAAATGTCATGTGTCTGGACTGATCAGTTTCCTCCAAGCACTTTCAGAAAGTGTTTCTCTAGGCACAAGAGGCTGAGCAGGAGCCCAGAGGGCCTCGTGGGAGCACAGACAGACTCTAAATTTCCTTAGAGAAATTAAAAAGACATGGAGAAAAAGAGGCCGTATATCAATCCAGAGGTGTAGATGAAGAGGAATGGAAGAGAAGAGGGTGAGGATAAAACTTCACATGTGTTGAGGATGCTGTTAAACACAAGTGGAATGTAGTCCCGGGCTCCTCTGGGGAGGGCTGGGGACTTATCCTGGATGTCAGGTAAGTTTAACAAGTGCCTTTGCAGTTACTCATACATGGCTATTCATTCTGCTGTGATCAACAGGAGAACATAGGGGTAAGCATGGGGTGAGCAAACTCAGACTGCACTGCCCGAAGCAGGAGCAGCACCCCAATGTCAGCAACCAACCACATTTCCTCGGGCCTGACTCCCCACAGCAGGGACAGAGAGTCCCGCTCCACCCTTCCTGGTTTTTGTCACAGATACAAAGAGTTGTCCAGGACACCTGGGAAGACTGGACTCATCTGTGAACAAAAGGACGCTGGAGAGCAGGGATACACTGCATTCGTGAACAGGTCTTTTAGCAAGGTGGAGTTTTAAATAGAAGGCACAGAGTGGCTGGCCATTCTCTAAACATGGGGTTTGGAAGTTCTGCAGACCTACAGAATATCATATTCAGGCCCAGAAAGTAACATCAGAAGAAGCAAGCAGCTTTACCAGACACACATAAACACATACACTCTATACATACTTTTTCCTTTAAATTTTTTTGTTTGAGAATTTCATACATGTGTGTAATGTGTTTTAATCAACTCAACCTCCTTTTCTCCCTTCCACTTCCTCCCCTATTTACTGCTTTTTGTTCCCAACATGATGTGTTCATTTATTTCTGTCAACTGAAGTCCATGTGATGTTGCCTGTATTGCATAGGTATACGATCATTTATGGAAGCATGAAACTGACTGCCCGTTCCCCAGCAGCCTTCCAGTGCCACCAGCTCCTCAGCTAAGGACTTCATGAGTCTCTACCCCATCCATGCCGGGAGTGGCCAGCTTGATCTTGTACAGGCAGTCACAGTTGTTGACATACACACTCTAATCCTGGAAGATGTAACATCAATCCAATACTGAAGGGAGATTTAGCCTGCTTTACAAGCACTCAGTATTAATCAGCTTAGTTTTACAGACAACACATTTTCAGTAGCTATTGTTTAAAGATTCTCTTTCATAATGGCTACTCACTATCCTCCAACATTCTGAATGGCCTGTGTGTAATAGCACACACAATGGGGAGACTAATTTTTTTAAGACCCTCTCAAAACACAGCAGATTCAAAACTTCTAAGTCCTAGGTTTGCAAACACCCCTTACTGGAGGCATTTTCCAAACTTTTTGCCACCATAGTTGGCATTTTTTGTGCATACGACACTTGCTCCTGCTTCTCTGAAGTAACCTGTGGTCTGATCAGCATGGTAGAAAGACACATGCCGTTCAGTGTTCTAGTCACGACACCACAAACCCATCAAGTTCACCCCATTCATCAGTTGCTTCCTAACCCTACTGACACACAGTGGAGCTGGTTTCCAGCTGAAAAACACAGATATTTTCAAGGTGAAAAGTTCAAATACATGGATGCCTGTTTTCAACACACAAATGTTTACCATAAGCACTATTTAAAAGAACAACATACAATATGTTTAAAACGTGATTTGATTTAGAGGTGGTGAATTTTTTTATGTCATAAACATTAAACTACATCTATAGTCACAATAAATTCTTCCTGCGCTTGCAACTCAATCAGCAATATTTATAAGGCACCTACTATGTGCCTTTGAGCCTTTCTGTTGAGCTTTATTTGACTGTCAAAGTTTTTGGTTCTAATACTTCTATTTGGATACTAAGTTCTTATGTTTCTACTTTCTACTTTTTTATCTGTTCAAAGACAGAAGTCAGACATGGTGACATATGCCTAAAATCCCAAGCATGTAAGAAAACTGAGGCAGGAGGATCATTGACCCCAGGAGTTACAGACCAGTCTGGACAATGTAGTAAGGCATGGACTCAAAATGAAAATAAAAACAAGAGCATTTGTGATTGCTCATAAAAGCATTTTTATGACTGTCTCCTAAAGTCTTTGTCAGGTAACTTTAACATATCTGGCATCCTGGTGTTAACATCCACTGATTACCTTTTGCTCTTCTGCTCAAAGTGAGGTTTTTGTTTGTTTTTCTGTCATTTTCAAATCTTCAGAATGGCTATTCTAACTGTGTAGATGCTCACTGAGATGTATAGCCCTTGGGTCTGGTTAATTTCAGTGTAGGATTTTTTTTTTAATTGGTAAGCTTTTTACAATAAAGTTTTTTTTAATTGAGATTTTTCTTATTTCTTCTATGCTAAATGACTTTCTGTTGAAACCCAGAATCTTTAAACTATTATAAAACTTGAGATTCATTGAAAACTTTGTTTTAATATCACCTCACAGCACTGCCCCAACAGGGGAAGAGAAAGACACCATGGTACTAAGGGTGATTTTCCTACTGGCCTTGGCAGACACCCACGGGCACTTCCTGTGGTTACGATTGTCTGTGTAGTTCTAGTGTCCCATCGAGCTCTTGGGAGCAGGGTGCAAGACCGCTTTGTGCCTAATTGCAAGTGTCCTCCCCCACCATCACACATCTACTCGGTCCCATTACTCCTGGGCAATGGTGGGAGTCAAGGCCCCCACAGTCATCACTCAGGGAATAAGGCTGAAGCGGGGAATGAGACAGACACTCATGACCTGCAGCATTACCATTGGCAAGGATGGAAATCCTGGCTCTCAGCCTTCTCTGATGGTATTCTTAGGGTGCTTGATGCTAGCCCAGCAGTGGGGAAGTCAGGACTCTACTTAACCAGGTTGCCTTTCTCAGGTGGGGCTGTGAAGAACAGTTTTATTTTCTAAGCATTTGCCTGGAAGAATAGTTATGCCTAGCAGTGTTCTGCCTTGGCAAGCTGACCTTTTCCTTCTCCTCTGGGTAACGAACAGGCTTACATGTGCTCCTGTGGCATATCTGGGTTGCCAGCTTCTCAAGCTTCGAGCCTGGGATAGACGAAGCATAAAGAAACCTCTGCCCACATCACTTAATTTCTGGTTTCCAGGTTCTGAGCCCCAGTAATGGCAGATGGTTTCTGTGACCTGCAGCATACATTTCTACTTCAAGTGGCTGTGGTGCTGAGAAAGAAATCCAGCACCAGATTATGTTTCTTCCCTGCCCAAAAATGTTCTTCCAATGTCAAAGATAACTCTGGGAGGACTCTTCTTTCCAACTCTAAAGAATGTAACTAATTCTGTCATTAAAAGAAAGAAATAGAGAGGAAAACAGTGCAGAGCAACTATTTCCCTTTTTTGGCATTCTTGGACAGGATGGTGGCAAGGCCAGGCTTCAGGCATCTTGTATGAATTTCACGGGGATCAAGCAATGCTGGCAGAGACCATAGAAATCAGAAATTAATTTTAGCCACATGTGCAGAGTATATCCATCGAAGGAAGGCAACCTTTAACAATACCTCCACCTAATTAGTTTCCTTTTCTGAAAATTCCCATTAAAATCCTCTCCTCTTCATTAAAAAACTTTGCAGTGAACCTTGGGCGAATTCAATAAATCCATGAAGGTAACTCACAGGGCTTGGGAGAGCCCCACCAGGGTTTTGCTTATCCAAGAACCTTAGGCAAACAGAGTTGTTTTGTTTTTGGTTTGGGTTGTTGTTGTTCTATTTCGTCTTAAACCCACTATCTTCTATGTGTCAGGAATACTCTCAGAGCCTCGGAATGGAGGGATCTCACCCCTCCTCCTCCTCCACCAGGTGCTTTTCCTACTACCTCTTTCAAATAATCCCCCAAAGCATAGATTCACAACAGTAAGATGTGGCTCCTGGGTAGCGGCCTGGTCAGCACAGAACTGAGTCTTCGGCTGTTCTTAGAACAATGCTGGTCCCACTGCCTGGGACAATCTAGAAACCATGCAGTGCTGGGAACTGCTTACCCTAGGGGACGTTCCCCCCACCCCCAGCAGCATCTTAACTGAAGAACATGGTGGGATTTTGTTTCTGCAGCACAGAGGATTAAGCCTAGAGACTCTTTGAGCATGTTACCACCCAGCTCTACACCCAGCTTAACTGAAAAAAATATTAGAGTGTCCTTAGTCTGGAAAAACTCCTATTTCCTCTACTTTGCAAGTGTTTTAAAGACAACACACGAACAAGCTACTTCCTTCTTACTTTCCCAATTTCATGGAAGAAAATAATAATAATAATAAAATAATGATGATGATGGTGAGATAGGGAGAAAGGAGTAGGATTTGCAAGATTACAAATTAAGGTTAGTTTCAAGCTTAGGCTAGAGAAGTATAACTGGACAGTTACTTTAGCCAAACTGGTTCTACCATCTTTAGCAAGCCCACATAACCTCCAAGCTGCAGCCAAAGTGAGCATCCTCCTCCCTCCCTTCCTCCTTACACGAATGCTTGAAAATAGGGCTTCGGTTCTTGGTAGCTGTAAGAACATTTTTAGTTTAGCTACTTTCCATTCTGACCCAGCTGTGGTCTCTCAGACAGACAGGAAATGAAGACAGATATAGAGGAGGGGGCACAGGACTCTAACCCTGCAGTTGCACTCCTCTGGGTAGCCTCTGGGGACTGGGTGTCCTTCATAGCATAGGAGGAACAAGGGACAGGGCTGGCTTTGGCCTCCTTCTACTGCAGACATGTGTCACATAGCACCTTCCAGAGTGCAAGTATTAAGAGCAGAAGAAGAGCAGGGGTTAGCAAAGT